ACCCGGACACCAAGGGAGAGGCAGCTTTGGAGAGGGACAGGGGGACCCAGAAGCAATGATCTTGGTGCTTTCTGTGCTCTTCGGGGAAGAGAGCAGCTATAGGGCAGGGTCTGTAGGAACTTGCAATTCCTCAGCCCCACCCAGCTGGGCTACACTGTGTTTGCTGTAGCCCAGCAGGTCCTCTGCAATGCCCATTTCCCATCATGTACTTCTTTCTTTTCTTTTTTCTCTCTCTCTTTCTTTCTTTTTTTTTTTTTGAGACAGAGTCTTGCTGGAGTGCAGTGGCATGATCTCGGCTCACTGCAACCTCCACCTCCTGGGTTCAAGCAATTCTCCTGCCTCAGCCTCCCAAGTAGCTGGGATTACAGGCATGCACCACCATGCCCAGCTAATTTTTTGTATTTTAGTAGGGACCATGCTGGTGAGGCTGGTCTCGAACTCCTGACCTCATGATCCACCCGCCTCAGCCTCCCACCACACCCGGCCCTCATGATGTATTTCTACACTCAGCTTCTTAAAACCAGACTTGTATAGAAAGAGATGACCGGCCAGCTCTTCTCTCCTGCTTGTCACTGCGAAGCCTTCATTCCCATCCCATCCTCTGCATTGCTCCCTTTGCTGGGACTAGGGAGGGAGCCCACTTCCCAATTCACTCTTACTTGGGAAGAGCAGTTGGGCCAAAAACCCGAAACCCACCCTGGAGCCAAGGGTGTCTGCTCGCAGGAAAAAGGTCTACCCGGCTGCTGGGCTTATGTACAGTGCGACTCCCTCCTTGTGGGGCTGGCGTGGGGGCCGGGGAGGTGCGGTAAGTCAAGAGTCACTGCTGCTTAGGCTGATTTGTGTTATTTAATTTATGGGACACATGAATTCTAAATAATACCTGAGCCTTCCTTCCTCTCCTCTGTCATTCTTCCCTTCCTTTGTTCTTCTCCTCCTCCCTTCCCTTTCCCCCCTCTTCCCTCCTTCCCTACCTCCCTTCCTTTCCACTTTGTGATAAACATTTGCTTGGAGTCTGCTGTGTGCCTAAGAAAATCCATATTCAGGTGATACAACAGAAGCAGAGAGGAGGAGGTGGACCCCCGAGGAGCTCATCCGCAGCCTCCGCGGTGCTGCCCTGGGCTAACAGCATCCGGTTTTGCTCAGTCTGGGGCAGCGATGTGCTCAGGGAGCGCTCCCTGGGAGAAGAACTAAGACTGCTCAAAGCAACCTGAGCTGCCCTGCTCACCTGGCCTACCATTACCTGGCAGCAGGGAGTGGGCCTGTGACCCAGATCTCATAGGTGGGGCCTGAGAGAAAGTGGGCTGAAGGTTAGATGCCTCCTCCCCAGGGAGATGAAGACATTCAAGAGATGGAGTAGCTCTTATGCTTCCTCCCTGGAGGCTATCTTGAGAGGATATAATCCTCCTATCTGTGGCAATCATCTAGGAACAGGAGAAAGGCAGGTAAAGTATAGAAAAATCATCCTGAGGCCGGGTGTGGTGACTCATGCCTGTAATCCCAGCACTTTGGGAGGCTGAGGCGGGCGGATCATGAGGTCAGGAGTTGGAGACCAGCCTGGCTAACACGGTGAAAACCCTTCTCTACTAAAAATACAAAAAATTAGCCCGCATGGTGGTGAATGCCCATAGTCTCAGCTACTCAGGAGGCTGAGGCAGGAGAATCGCTTGAACCCAGGAGGCGGAGGTTGTAGTGAGCCGAGATCGTGCCACTGCACTCCATCCTGGGCGACAGAGCTAGACTTCATCTAAAACAAAGCAAAACAAAACAAATCAAAAAGCTATCGTGGGTCCCGGGATCACTGAGCTGCTGAATTAACAGTTCTGGGTCCACCTACCACCAAATTCCTATTTGCAAAATAATTAACTGTCCTTATTGTCTGGCTTCATTTCGGTTTGGCATCCTTACATTTTGTAACGAAAGGCATCTTACCTGCTGCAGCAAAGAAGAAATAAAGAACTATGATTTTCTATCACAAGTGACTCTGAGCCGCCTGGAAGCTGAGGCAAAAAGGAAAAGCAGACGAATTGCCAAGCTCTCATTCTTAGGAAGAGCTTCTCAGGGAGTTTCAGCTTTCTTGGCCTCTAAATTCCTTGTTTGACACTGAATTTCCACATGGGAGTTTAGGAAAGGAACCCTGGGATACATAATTGCTAGACCCAGCGTAACTGTTTTGCAGGAGAAGCAGTTTTCAAAGGCTCTTTCTTAAGAAAACTAGGATCTAGATATAATAAGAGTTTAAGTAGAGAGGCAGAGTAGGGTGGGAGCTGCCCCCATGCCATTCCCACCCTACCCCAGAGGGTCACATGTTCCCCCAGCACAGAGTAGAACTCAGTATGAATGAGCAGATACTGAAGAGACCACTGAGAAACTGAACACCGAGCAGAAAGCAGAGCTCAGAAGGATATGGAGCCTAGGGCTGCAGGGAAGCAGAGGCCCCTGGCCCACCATGGCTACGGGTGGCAGCTGTGAGTAGGATTTGGAGTAAAAGGGAGAGAAGAGGTCCTGGCTGGGGAAAGCCCTGGTTTGTAGAAACCTGGGCCTGGGTAAAGGTTTCTTGGGGATGGTAGGAGAGGGTTGGGAGGCACAGGTCTAGACTGTCCTGGGTTCTCCATGTCTCAGGCCCACTGGCTGTGTGTGACCTGCATCACACCTCCTGCTCCTGGGGACCGTGTGTGTTTATCTGTGCTCAAGAAGCACCGTCAAGTCTTAGGAATGACTGTGTGTCCCATCACTGTCTCTGTGCAGCCCAAAGTATCTGACGGTTCTCCTGATAGAAATGCGGTATTTGGAAATTCAAATGAGCCAGGCAATTACTTTAGGAAGAGATTGCTGAGGACTCACAACAGATTTTTCATGAAAAAATGCTGTACTCTCTGTACTTTTTCTGTAGGATGTCAGTAGATGCCACACACACACACACATACACAGACATACCAAATATATTTGGAAGAATTCAATAGCTTTCTTTATTGCAATATGTCTTGAAGGCATTCATATCATATGTCATCAAATCTAAGAGACACCCTCAATTGAAAGAGGTGTCATTATTTAATGTATTACTGGGGGAAAAAAACGTCCAAGATGGAAAGTCTCACAGGAGGCGCCTCTCTAAAGACGAACAATGAAAGGCTCCACTGTCGGCTGGGCGCGGTGGCTCACGCCTGTAATCCCAGCACTTTGGGAGGCTGAAGCTGGCAGATCACCTGAGGTCAGGAGTTCGAGACCAGCCTGACCAACAGGGTGAAATCCCGTCTCTACTAAAAATATGAAAATTAGCTGGGCATGGTGGTGGACACCTGTAATCCCAGCTACTCGGGAGGCTGAGACAAGAGAATTGCTTGAACCCGGGAGGGACAGGTTGCAGTGAGATTGCACCATTGCACTCCAGCCTGGGTTACAAGAGAGAAACTACATCTGAGAAAAAAAAAAAAGGCTCCACTGTCAGTACCGGAGGAGATGAGAAATAAACCCACCGTGGAGAGGAACAGCAAGGAATCTTCAGGTCTCTGTCTTGGCCCTGGCGAGGGGAGAGAGAAATAGGGAGACATGCCTTGCACTGATCATTAGAACCATAAGCTGCTTCTCACTCTGGGGTTAAAATACCCAGAAGATCCCCAAGGAGTTTCCGGAGCCGAGTCCCCAGATCACTGGCAGAAGCAAACACAAACCCTCTCTGGAAGACCTCAAATTCAGCCCAGGCCAGTGGTGATTGCAAAACACCAACTGTGAGATGTTTCTTGATTTGGGGATGTTAAAATGTGAGAAAGTGCACACCCAGGCAGAGATGAGGACAGTGAGCCCTCATCCAGAGAAGGCCAGAGTATTCAGCCCTAACTACCCCATCCCACTGGGGAGCTCCTGGTCAGCAGCGGTCACTGTTGCCACTATTGATGGAGTGCTTACTTGGTGCCAGGCTCTGCACACATCAGCTTCTGTCGCCCTCACAGCACCTCTGCATGGGGTAACAGCAGCATTGCTATTACTTTCATCAGAGTAAACTGAAGCAACTTTCCTGAGGCTGCACACAAGTAAGTAACAAAGCTAGGCTTTGAGTCCACGCTCATCTCTGGTATCTGGAAGGTGATGTCCATCAAGACGTTTTTCAAGGGATGCCACTCCGGCCTGCTGAACCTAGCATATTGCCAACAATGCAATTGTTCAGTAAAGTGTCTATTCCCTACACAGAGGCAATTTCTGCATCAAAGTCTGTCTTATCACACTCTAGAAGGCTGTGCAAAGGCTCCTGCTGTGCAGCGGTCTTCGCTGCATAGGTATTCCCAGGCTCTGGCTGGACAATCCCATGCTCGCTGTAAAGGGATCAGTGGTGGGCATGAGAAGACATTATTCAAGGTCTTCTCCTCTTTTCTGATTTGAGAAGATGTTAACATAAATATCACAAAACTGGCCGGGCTCAGTGGTTCACGCCTGTAATCCCAGCACTTTGGGAGGCTGAGATGGGCGGATCACAAGGTCAAGAGATTGAGACCATCCTAGCCAACATGGGGAAAGCCCATCTCTGCTAAAAATACAAAAATTAGCCAGACATGGTGGTGAGCACCTGCAGTCCCAGCTACTCGGGAGGCTGAGGCAGGGGAATCGCTTGAACACCCAGGAGGCGGAGATTGCAGTGAGTTGAGAAAGTGCCACTGCACTCCAGCCTGGTGACAGAGCAAGACTCTGTCTCAAAAAAAAAAAAAAAAAAAAAAATCACAAAACTTCCAAAATATGACCAGGCTCCAATCACCTTTCTGGTCCATATCCTGTCCCTCCTGAGGCTCAAAGACCTCAATTTAGAGAATCAGCACCCCTCTTCCTCCCCACAGAGCGGTGTAGACCTCGGGGGCCATGTGGAGAGCTGGAGCCTGAGTAATAAATCCCCTCCCTGCAGGACGACTAGCCAAGTTTTATTACAGATCCTATCACAATGAAAAGGGCTGGTACTCCTGTGATTGAGCTAATCCTGTCACCGTGTAAATCAATAGGAAACTCACAGGAGGCGATTTGATTTAGGATGTTCATTTTGGGAAGCTGGTCTTTCTACCACATTGGAGTCAAGATTTTGTCCGGCACTTCCATGACAAATGGAAAGTTCGGCCCCAAAGGACCAGACTTGTTAATAAAATAAATTCAGATCTCTCCAAATAAAAATTCAGATGCATTTTAGTCTCCCCTTGAAGCAGGCCATATACTCAAAGAAGAACAGCACCGGATCCAGGATGAATCTGAGGGACATCCGGCCAGCAGGGGAAGGGGGAGAGAGAGAACGCATGTTGCCCAGACATACTACTGCCAGGTGACAATACAATGCCTCCAACCTGGTCCCCTTGACTCGGACCAATGTCCCTCTTCTGCAAGCCAGTTGGCCAGGCAGCCAGGGCCTTGTCGGGCAGAGGCAGGCTGAGGGTTCTGGGTACTGTTTCTGTCCAACAGGTGTGGCGGGTTCTCCTCTAGGGCTGCCAGTTTGCATGAGGGCCTCCTGTCTCTCCATTGACAGCAGCTGACGAGCATCCATTCCATCTGTAGGAGGGACACACAGTGCCTGTCTTCTGCAGCGTGGGCAGGACTGGAGTGACTGCCCAAGCAGCTGACCCCACTTGGCAGGGGAACGCAGGGAGGTGAAGCTGCATCTAGTGCAGCAAAGGGAAGGCCATGTGGGATGCTGATCCCCAGGCTCCAAGAGGGGCTGTTGGCAGGAGCTCTTGTGAACATGGATGTGATTTGTTGGGATTGGGCCTCCCTCCACGCCTCCATTCTCCCACCTCCATTAGGGGTGACTCACACCTGCAGAAAGGATGAATCATGTGGGTTACGAAACCAAAGGGCTCCTGAGAGCAAGGCTGGAAAGGACCTCGGAAATCATCTAGGCAGAGCATGCCGTCTCCCCATCCCCTCCTGCCCCCGCCTCTCACCTCCAGCTGCCAAGCCACAGACTCCGCTGGACAAGAGATGGCTCCTGGAACTGAGCATCAGAGAAGCAGCTTCCTTTCCACCTCAAGGCCTTCTAGACCTTTTTTTTTCACTTGCTATAAAGTAAGCAGGCTGATGGCTTGCTTTCTGCAAGTGGGCCAGCGGGGCCAGTGGGTCCTGGGAGGGATGAGAGGAGAGATCTAGCAGCGATCTTCACCCTTCATAATTGCTTGTGCATGGTGTGAACATTTCCATAAATCTCCAGGGTGCTCCAGATAATTATCCACAGGATACCAGGCTACTCCAGGCAGCAGGGGTGAGGATGATTCAACTCACTTTCCCACTGCTGGTCCCAGCTCAGTGGGTGCTTTTAAGAGTGTACATGATCTAGTGAACACCTACCACCTGGCAGGCCCTGGGCTCATAAAAACGAACGTTTATGGATAGGTTATTGTACAGCAAAAGCTGCCCTCATCCTCAAATCAGCCCCACGGGGTAGATACCACTGTTACCCCCATTTTACAGGTGGAGCGCCTGCCCTCATCCAGGACAGGCATTTGCCCAAGATCACAGCCATGCTAAGTGGACGGCCTAGGGGTTCACCTGCACAGTCAGCCCACCTCTTAGATGGGCTGCGGCCTCCGAGAGGGGCTCTGCGCCGTGGTTTCTCGGGTATACGCTCTTGAGCCCCTTCAGTCAGGCTTGGTCATGGGCGATCCAGTGTCTTCCCAGCAGTTTCTTCTCCCTGGGACCCTGCACGCTGGCGAGCCCACTGTCTCTAGGGAGGCAGGCGAGGCCGCTGGGCCTCAGAGACCCCGCGGGATGAGTGCAGCCTCCGGGTGTCCCGCCGGTCTAGGGAACAGCGGACTCACCTGAGACGCCAGGGCCTCCCCGCTCCCGGCAGAACTCCCGGGGCCGAGGCCGCCGCTGAGGCGATCCCGCGTCCCGAGAGCCTCACAAGTCCGCGGAGAAGTTCCCCCAGTGGGGGCGTTTCGGGTCTCCCGGACGGGTCTCCGCTCCGGAGCCCGGCCGCAGGAGCGCGGGCCCGGGGACGCCGCCGGGCCGCGCGGGCGGGAACGCGCCGCGGCCGCCTCCTCCTCCCTGGCTCCCGCCCGCGGCGGCGGCGGTGGCGGCGGCGGCGGCGGCGGCGCTTCCCCGGCGCGGAGCGGCTTTAAAAGGCGGCACCCCA